TGCTGTGTGCGGATCATTCAAAGGCCAAGAGGAGGTGGACACCCATGGATAATGAGCTAAAAAAAAACTAAATGTTGTCAGAGCAGTTGTGGTGTACAGCCATGTGGACGTGGGTGGAGAGGAGACTGCAGCTTTGTGGCTCGCTGCTCTGTGTGTGACAGGACGAGTGTGGGAGAAGCCTCCTACAACAAAGAGTCTTTTCCCAGGAAAAAAAAATTAATTGGCCACACCAGAGGATCATGCAGAAGGGTTGACAAGACTAGCAGAGGATACACAAGAGAGCAATAATAGATCATATCATTGCAGGTTGTTGTCCACACTCTACGAGATAAAGACATATCCTACATTTGTACTGGATTGATCTAGCCTGACCTTAGCCATCCGTTAACTCCGGTGAATTATTTTTTCCCTACATGTACGGATGGTTACCTCTGTTGTATCCCCTCCGACCAATCAGCGAGAGGGGGAGGAGGGTGTTGTAAGTAGGTGTTGGTGATGTCAAGAATTTTTGCCAAATTTGCTGGTTGTATTTTGTCAATGGCGGCAAATGCGATAGTAAATAGTAGGGTCATCTGTTCTGGTTTAGCTCCCAAGTATCAAGAAATTGAGGCTAGAGCAAGAGGAATGTTTAGCAAATGTCATTGTTGGCAAAGATATTGTGGCTCTACTCCCCACGCGCTCCATTAATGGCAAAGGAGATTGCTAGGCTAAATGCTAAATTCTAGCGACTCAATCGGGCGCATTACATACGTCACAGCAAACTCGGATCGTTTCATTCTGCAAAAGGAGTTAAATTTAAGGAGTTAAATTTGTAAGATAGTATGGTAGGACCAAGATTGATCCATCACAGAAAACGTTTAGAAAATACATCTGGGCCAATGAAAAAAGCTGGCTATTGCATCTACCTGCTTTGTATTAAAAGCAGGTAAATTAAGTTACATTTGTGACCTTAGGGACCTAGGGATGTTTTTACAATGGCAGTCAAAGTAAATGTGTTTTCAATGTTTTATTTTTAATCTTTTAAGTCACTATGGTCTGCCAAAGGTTTAGGAGGAAATTTTCCTGACCCACGGGATGTCAGACTGCGTGCAGCAGCACTAATATCAGATTCAAACTGAAAACTGCAATAATTACAGACTGTTATCTGTAATAAAAAAGTAATTTAAATATATAAACAAATATTTATATTGATAAATATTTATAGAAATGGTTGATAGAAGGTAAAAACGTTTTTTTGCAAAAACTACTATTATACTATTACTCTATAACACCACCATTACGCCAAAGTACTTAGCACCTGTGGATAGGTAATGCTCTGTAAAAATTACTGTTCTGTTGCAGTCTTAATCTAATGAAAGAGTATTTACCAAAAGCGAGACGAATAAAGGAACTTGGTATTTGTATTGCTCCTTGCCTTAACCTGTCAGATCCTCCCACCTTCAGCTGACTGACGTCCCACAACTGTGTGGTAATCAGCTGGCAGGTATAAAGGGCCTGGCTTCAGACCAATCTTACCTCTAACTTCTATTCCGACCATCCATTGGACCATTGTGTCCTGCTGCTGCACCTCACCTTTTTGGGGGACTATATTTAGTGTGTATAGAATATTGGTTCTGTTGCACCACCACCTTGTGGCTCGTAATAGATCTAATTATTAAAATAATTAGGGATAGAGATGCTCGAGTCTTCAAATATCTGAAGTTGTGAAAAAACATTGTAATTAGGATTCAGACATTCAAACTCTGTTCAAAGAAGAAGGTCCTTTATTTGTCCTTTTAAAGCAGCATCTATTTCTATTTCAAGCACAAGTAACAAATCTGCTAGTTTGATTGCAATTCCTCTAGGGCCACAGCAAAAAGTAACAAGGGTTAATACCTAAACATTTCTCTGGTGAATCACCATACCACATCTAATCTTGCAACATCTGAGAGTGGTTTAAGCATTTAACCACTGACAGACACAGACCAGTTGCAGTTATTTGCGGGGTTCACAATGACTATAAATGAGGACCGCTGCAATGTTTAGCAATTTAAAACAAATCATAGCTTTAAAATCCTCAAAATTAAACACAAAACTGACATATCAATGTCAAAACTAATCAAAAGTAGAACTCCACTTTTTGCCCAAACACAAAACATTGCAGAATAGGGCTGGGAAATAAATCGAGTATAGGCAATTCATTGTGAATTTGTGAGAAATGTAAAAATCGTGAAATCGAAATTGTGAGAATTCCAGCAGCACATGAATTATACTATATAATTCAGTACAGTCTGTACAAGACTTTTATAATACGTATTGGGGGAAACAAATTAAAAATAGTTTTGAAACTTGAATATTGAGCGGAAAGATCAAAAAATATTTTTCTCTGTGATCGAGATTTAAAACCAGAGCTACTTGAAACACTTAAATTCAATTGACAATATGTGGAAAGACCAGGAAACTGCTGTTAACAAAAGCTCTTCATCTTTTCTGACAGAGCTTGAGTTGTTTTGTAAAGAGGAATGGGAACAACTTGCATTCTTTTGGTTTGCAAAGCTTGTAGAGTCATCTCCATGAAGGAGGATCTTGGAGTGACGTGGTCGTTTTGTTTTTTCGCGGCGGTCACATGACTGGGTAGCAAAACAGCATAGAAAGCTACCTGGATGCTAGAGAGTTAGCTAGTTTTAGACGTTTGGAGAGAGGTTTTGCTAAATCAAATGGTCCATTCTTGTTGTGTGGTCGGTTGTACGGCCCAGAGATGAGGGGATAAACATTTGTAAAAAAATTTAGTTTTGCAACTACTTTCACTGCACACTTGTTCACTGTGATGAATTCTTAACATTGCATTTTGGTTACTCATCCCCGCGGCTTCCTTTTCCACGTTTATTGTAAGTAAGAGTATAAAGGGGCAACCCGCTTTTAATGTACGGACCACTTTACAGCGACGGCGATAAGCCGGGCCACTTTACCCGGCTTTTCTTGCATGAAGGGTCCTGGGTTTTCTATGAAGTAAGAATAAATGTTTCCCAGCAGAACGGTGCCAAGACAGAGGCGAGTCTGACCATTATTTTTTTCTCGTCATCCCAGGTCTCATATATGGGCTTTGGATTTGTTCAGTTCGGTCTCATATACTTTACTCGTATACCTTTTTTTTTTTAGCTTGTCTTTATATCTCCGCTGATCTTCTTGCGTTAAAGTGCTTATATACAGTGCATTTTGCCCACTAAGTCTTTTAAAACTACTCGTCGTATCCATGCTTCAGTATGTGCTGCTCTGTCTTGCCACTCAGCAGGTGTAGCATGCGCGCGCAGATGTAAACAAAGATTCCCCTATAGACTTGCTACTGTGATTACAGAAAGAGGGTTCCACAATGTTTTCATTCATGTTGTATCAATATTTGTGAAAACACCACTTTTCAGTTTTTACATTGATAAAAAAAAACAACAAAATCATGTATCATTTTTCTTTAAACTTCATTGGTCAGTTACTTTGTTGTTGTCGTAAACAATATTTTCAAGTGGTATTAGCATTTTTCCAGCCCACTGTATGTGTTGTTGAATTAATTATATTAAAACATATTAATTTGAGTCAATGAAGTTTGACATTCTGGTAGCTCAAGTGGAGCAGAGGTGATGTCTTCATTGCATGTCCTTACTTGAGCCGACACATTTTAACACCTCTCTTAATGTCAGGCACCCAGGAGTCCAAGATCAAAGTGAGGTGGCCTGTGATGACCACGGCATGAATCAAGGACAGCTGTGTCACATGAGCAGACAAATGAGGGCTCATTCACAGTCTGTGTTTAGTTATGCCTATCATATGATTCACTTATTGTACATTTAAAAATTCAATTGCCTCGTTAGACAATCATATTTAGTAATGTTCATTATTCTATAATATGACATATAATGATACTACTGAAAACAGAATGTTCTTTTCAATTACTCTGAGAAAACAAGCAATATTTAAGTTCAGCTGTTCCTGTACATACTATTGATGTACATTGATTTTTGGTGCCTCTATCAAAGTACAGGCACACTACCTTCTTCTGCTTATATAAAAACAAAGAATATGCATTTTAACCATGCAAAAACCAGACTAGAAATGTTCTCTTCAAATGCCACAGCTTTGGACAAACCCAAAAACTACGAACTATATGTCTTCCATGGATTGTGTACTGATAGTTGTTAAGTCTAAGGTATCTCTTTGTGTTGCTATGGGCGTCAATGTAAGTCAAGAACACTGTCCAGTGCACTGCATTAGGTCACTTCTGCCAATAGAGGGCAGTGTCATGTTAGAATGAACACAAGGAACAAGGAAAGGGGTGGAAAGTACAAAAGGCATGGGAAGACCTAAGAAATACAATTTATTTTGCTGACTTTTACATTGTGAAGTGAAATGTGTTCCAATACAATTTTTAAATGTCAACTTTAATTTTGTTGTTTAGTGCTGGAAATTATAGATGTGTTTTAACCCCAAAATAGATAAAACAGAAATTGCCTAAAAGGGGTCGACAGTGGCTCAGTTGGTAGAGCACTGGCCTTTGAGCCTGAAGATTGTGGGTTCGAGCCCACCATAAGACTTACTTCACGACCCCACTTTGCCTGAAGCCCCCGCTGAACCAAAATGGATTAAGGAGAAGAAAATGGATGGATGGATGGAGAAATTGCCTGCACTACCATTGTTTCAATAAATATAAAACACTGCTTTGTAGAGCTGTGTGTAATCAGCATTAGAATAGTGTAATCATTGGGGAAACAATGGAAACGTGAACAGTTCAACCTCATGTAAACAGAGTGTTTTGGAGAGCTGCTGCCACTGCTGTTGATTTGGACTTATGTTGGTATTTTGTCTGAGGGAAATACATATAAGTAAAGGATTTGCTTGTGGCTGGACAAAAAAACAATACGATTTTAAAGAAGCCCGCCTTTAACCGAACACCACACATTGAGTCTTTGAGTGTCCAAAAAAGTGCAATATAAAACCGACGCAAATATTATTATCCACTTCCTGGTTCTTACCTTTTTGTTGGATGAGCTTTGGTGCGAACGGCTGGAGTCCAGGTTGTTGGGCGCAGACACACTAATTCTTATCGAGGGCGATGGCGGGCTTTCTTCCTCCTCATCCTCCTCCTCTTCTTCATGGCCACTCTCTGCTGAAGGCTCGAAGTCATCGCTTTCCTGGTCCATGTCCTCTTCATCCTCCTCTTCCTCCTCTTCCTCTCTCCTCTCCTCGTCCCCACCCTCTGTCCTTTGCTCCTCCTCCAGGTGACTGTTGTTATTGTTCTCCTCTTCGTCCTCCTCTCCAGGTCCAGGGCCATGGCTCCGGCCTCTTCTCTGTTGGGAGTTCCAAGACCAGCGGATAGCTCCCTTTGACTGTCCATTCACCTCGCCGCTGCGCTCCTCTTCTTCCTCCTCTCTGCCTTCGGGGTGCGGGTGAGGGCCGTTGGAGGACCATGGTTGTTCTCTCTCTTGGTCGACTTGGGACGCAGCAGGCTGCACACAAAAATGTGATCAGTATATGAAATAAATCATTTGAACCTGAAAAGTAGGTAGAGGTTCAAGGTAATTATGAAGATCTACTTTCAGACACTTATATGCAGACTCTCAGACTCGGTGTGAGGGTTCGGTTAAAAATACAGATGGCTGGGTCGGAAAGGGCATTTTAAGAGGTTTTAATTAAAAACTCAGTAGAAAAAACTGTGGCAAATGTACAAAAACGTATTTACAGAGCAAAATGAAAAGTCTACAGGCAAAAAGGATGTTTACAAAAAAATATACACAACTTCAACACTGAGTCTCTTTTTCTTTAGCTTTTCACTCAAGCTCCTGCAGTCCACATTACCTTCTCTAATGAGTCACGACTGCCATGGGGCAGACAAGTACACCTTATGTACCCTGCTGGCCCCTCCCACATTACAATTCAATCACCCTAATAACAGACCATATCTACAATACATGGCGCTTTCCTTAGGTTCATGATTACATATTACAGTTCCACATTGACACATTTCCAATAAAATACATTATGAGCTACACACTACGAAGAGTCCAAATGTTCATGCAAATGAGCTGTGGTCCACATGACCCACAGACAGGTGCATTTAAGCCACTGGCTTCTTATGTCCAGGTTTGCCAAAACGCACCATGGAGACGCCACGACCACGCCAGCACACAGGCAAGTGAATGACACATGTAACTACACATGTAACTACACCATGCAACGCTTCAATGAATGGGTTTGGGTGCTGCGCGCAGCCACCATGGCACCGGGCGCGCGCATCCTCACATGTGCTCCGTGGGACAGCGTGCTCAGGGACGGGCTCACCCCATCACACTCTGATATGTGCATGAGTGTGTGTTGCAGTAATGAAGGCATAAAGAAATACTTAAATATATAGTCTTTTGGGATATGACTCTACAAGATCTGTACATCTGGGAGACAGAAAGTTTATCCCATTCCTCTTTACAAAACATCTCAAATTAGATCTTTCAGATTTTCTATTGGTTTTAGGTATGGCCTTTGACAGGGCCATTCTAATGTTGTAAGAATATTTTGTTTTAAACCATTTAATTGTAGATTTAGCTTTGGCTTTAGGATCATTGTTCTGCTGGAAGGTGAATCTTCACCACAGCCTCCATTCTCTTGCTGGCCGGAGCAGGTTTTCTTTCACAATCTCCCTGTACGTGGCTTCATCCATTTTCTCAGCTATTCTTACGATCTTCCCAGTTCCCACTGAATAAAAGCAGCCCCATAGCATGATACTCCTCCTACTATATTTGACAAGGGGGATGGTTGTCTCATCTGACCAAATCAACTTCTTCCACATGGCTTTCTTCTTGCCACTCGACCACAAAGGCCAGATTTGTGCAGAGACTGATAGTTTTCTCATGTACAGATTCCTCCGAGAGGAGGGAGCTTGAGTGAAAAGCTAAAGAAAAAGAGACTCAGTGTTGAAGTTGTGTATATTTTTTTGTAAACATCCTTTTTGCCTGTAGACTTTTCATTTTGCTCTGTAAATACGTTTTTGTACATTTGCCACAATTTTTTCTACTGAGTTTTTAATTAAAACCTCTTAAAATGCCCTTTCCGACCCAGCCATCTGTATTTTTAACCGAACCCTCACACCGAGTCTGAGAGTCTGCATATAAGTGTCTGAAAGTAGATCTTCATAATTACCTTGAACCTCTACCTACTTTTCAGGTTCAAATGATTTATTTCATATACTGATCACACATCTGTTCAAATATTGGGAAATCTTGGTATAACTTATCGCTGCTTTAAACTTCTCCACAACTGTATCCCTGACCTCTGTGGTGTGCTCCTTAGCCTCTATGAGGCCGTTTATGGCCTGGCTCCAAGACGTGTTGATGTCATATCAACCAAGCCGAGCACTGCGCTCGCAAAACGCGAGACATCTGGTGGTTCCTAAGGTCTGTCTGTCACACTGTACTGTCGGTGGCAGAGAATTTAGCTACCAAGCTCCTTCACTGTGGAACCAGCATCCCATCCACGTTAAGGAAGCAGACACAGTCTCTACATTCAAGGCCAGGCTTAAAACACTCTTCTTCAATTTAGCATATGGTCAGGTTGTTTGTCCGGTCAGGTCTCATCCGGTCTTGGAGCCTGCTTGTATGGGACCCGGTTCGCTGCATCTTCAACCCTACGTTCTAGGCTAGGCTAAAACAGCCCTCTTTAGTTTAGCATATGGTTAGGAAGCTAAGACTCAGGGAAGGCTAACAATCTTAGATTGTCTCTCAAGCTGTGTGGCGAGTCCTTTTGCTGGGAGAAGTATGGTAACTTGAGCACTATCCTCTCCTCTCCTCCTTCCTACTTTATTGGTCTGCATTATTAGGAATTTGACTGTAGTCTGCTCATTGCTATTCAACCGTTGTCTCATTGTCTGTTTTATAGCGCGACGATGGGACCTCTGAACCTGGCCTCCTCCGTCTACACCTGCGGACTGCCCTGCCCAATCCGCCTGGGAGCTTCTTCGGTCCTGCACCGGACCTGTCCACGTTCAACGGCCGCTGTGCAGCCCTGGTCCACGTTCTGTAGCTTAGGCCCTGGATCTATAGCCCGTCCGTCTGTGTGGAGCGGATCCCTCTTTAAGTATGTGGGACAGTTAGTGTCCAACAACAAAAAGGACTGTGGTGATGATCCAGGACACCATCACATTCTACAACATGTATTTGTCAACATGTGTTCTGTATTCTTTTTTGTGTCTTAACTGTTGATTCTCTGATCTGTGTTGGTGATTTCAATAGTTTTGTTAAGTCCTCTGAGATGACTACTGTTGTGATTTAGGGCTATACAAGAATAAATTGTATTGTTTAGTGAGAAATACACTCCATAGCTCTGAGGCCCTCACAGAACAGCTGCATTTACACAGAGTAGATTACACACAGGAGGTCTCCATATATTTATTAGGGCAAGGTGTGAACATTCCGCAGTCATTAGGAAGGCCAAACTTTTCTTTTTCAAATAATAACTGAATCATGTATAATTTTACTTCCACTTCACAGTTTGTTACTTGTGTGTGTGAACTTCAAAATAAAAAATGTATGTTATTGGTTGTAAACTTATGCAAAGTTCAAGATGTATTATTAATACACATATATGCATATTCTCATTTTAACAACACGAATCCTTATTTCACTATAGTAATATTCACATAATATTGACATATGTATACTGTATATTATATACATGTGTGTGGCCATACCCTCTGCTCTTCCAGAACCACTCTGTTCATGTGCTCGTCTTCATCTCCCTCTTCGGCCCCAGCCTGCTGGGGTGCCCGGTCCGTGGAGGAAGCGTTACCTCGGCCCCCCGTCCCCCCAGGGGCCCCCGCTCTGCGACTCTGCCTGCTGCTGCTGTCCCCCGACAGCAGTTCCTGGTTCATCTCCAAAAGCCAGCTTGCTACCTCCTGCACCTTCGCTAGGCTGTCCGAGGAGGAGAAAGTCTTGACATGCTGAAAGAGAACACAAAGAACATACAAATATGAAGATGAGCTACATAATGTACAATGCTGTCCTGTCAAATAACAATTGCATAAATTATAACAGATCCAACATTTGTGATGTGAAAATTGGTGCAAAAAGGTCTTTCCACCTTGTAGCGAATTCAACTGAGCAACGGGAAATACATCTGAAAATATAGAGCCAGAGCTGTCAATATTGAGCCCTGCACAAAGAAGTGAAAAGTGCTTTCTCTCCGCTCCTGCAGCCACCTGACACACCCTGTGGAAAGGAAAAATTGCGATAAACATCAGACACACTGTGCAGGCTGTCTGCTTGACACCACATGGGTTATAAACTATCAATATACAGGCAGAGGATCATTTCAATAGGAGCACAGCAACTCACACCATCCAAGTGAAAGGTTTTCCAGGTCCAGAGGGTTTGTTAACTACAATAGTTTTGCATGAATATTTCAACAAAATCCACAAATTATATTTCTTTTTTGGATGACATGCAGTACATAAACTGAAATTCTAACTCCAATAATACAAAAACTGCTTTACAACAAAATACATCCAACAAAATGAAACTCATTCCTGGCCTCTACTTTACACACATATCTGTCAAGATGACAACCACGATTTAAAACAATTTAAAATATGTGTAGTGGATTAAAGTAATATTAAGAATGATTTGAAATCTTACATTTAAACTAGACATTATGTGTGGGCTCTGCAATGATTTTAAATTGAATTTTGAGCACAGATCTTGAAGGACTGACAGTTAAAGATAAGGTGGTCTATGTAAATGGGCTGATAAGTAGGCTGTGTGACTCAGGATTTGACTGAAGCAAAAAGAACTGAGTAAGCAGCATACAAAGCATACTCACATCTATGGTCACAGGTGCACGACAATATAAATGCATGAGTCTCTCTAACCAAACAAGGCGATGTAAATAATGGAAAATGAAAAGCTTCTCATCTTTAATTCAAGACAGATGGCTAGGTCCATTATATGTTTATTAAATAATACATTTGGATTTCCTTGTGTAGGGTATTTGTCGGGTATTGTAGGCTCAAAAACATTACACTCCTGGACTGTGGAATGTTTGGAAGCCAGCAGGTATTGAACAACAAATCAATCCATGACTTGAATGCACACCATAATTACTAAGAGGACATTTGTATTCATCTAAATGTAGAACGAAACTCTTTCGACTACTCAAAAAATCAATGTCTACCTCAGTGTGTGTGGAACCTCTGGAATGGTTAACAGAAGAAATGAAAACATGCTTCAAACGTATTCAATGTCAAAATGTTTAGAAAAAGTACTGAGAAGTATGTGGAGGAAAAAGTGATGATAGTGGAAGAGGTGAGGGACAGGAGGGTGCTAGTCAAAGTCACCTCCATCATGAACAATACCTCCCACCCACTGCACAGGACTGTAGAGGAGCTGAGGAGCTCCTTCAGTGGAAGACTGAGACACCCTCAGTGTAAGAAGGACCGCTGTCAGACTGTACAACAAGTCACTTTAAGTCACTGCATTAAGACTGAAAAAAAAACCTGCACTACTATTGACACAGTCTCTTGATTGCCACTTTTTAAAATGCCACTTTTGTTGTACATAATATATCCTGCATTTAACATTTCTTTCTTTTTGCACAATCTTGAGTGTTTCTATCCCTGCCAGATGTGACATGTACATTTCTCCTGTGTGAGAGCAATAAAGTATATCTCATCTTAGTGACGAGTTCGCTGGTATCTTCTTCGGATAAATGTATTCTGTTGAATGTACTGGTTTGAAAATGTGAGAAAGGCTTCTACTGTGACAATGGTCAACTCCAGGTTAAATCAGTTCTGTTTAGGACTGCTATACAATTAAACTTGCATTGCGTTAAACTGACCTCATTAAAAACCTTCTTATGCTTTATAAATATATAGTCTCCATCTATGTATGCGGACGCAGGAAAATGCATTCGAAGATCAGGCATCGGTTCCAGGATATTGATTTATAGTGACGCCAGCCAATTGATGTTATGTCGCGTCTAGTGCCTCCGCCTCGCCTTTTAACTTCTCATTGTTTAAACATATTTATAACAGGAAAAATAAGAATAAAATCCATTTTCAAAGCATCAAACGTCCAATCAACTGTATTTGTATTTGATAAAACATTTTCCAAAGTACTGCTAAGATATATGGCTCACTCCACACTAAACTGTACCATTGGTCGATCTAACTTCAAGCAACAATAAAAATAAAAAATAAATTTAAATCTTATTTTTTTATGTATCTACAATGGATACAATGTGGCCAAATCTACAATGGAATGGTTCACAAATAGACGTATCCAGGTGTTAGAATGGCCAAGTCAAAGTCCAGACCTGAATCCAATCGAGAATCTGTGGAAAGAGCTGAAGACTGCTGTTCACAAACGCTCTCCATCCAACCTCACTGAGCTCGAGCTGTTTTGCAAGGAAGAATGGTCTCTTGATGTGCAAAACTGATAGAGACATACCCCAAGCGACTTGCAGCTGTAATTGCAGAAAAAGGTGGCGCTACAAAGTATTAGCGCAAGGGGGCCGAATAATATTGCACGCCCCACTTTTCAGTTTTTTTAAATTTATCCAATACATTTTGTTCCACTTCACGATAGTGTCCCACTTGTTGCTGATTCTTGACAAAAAAATTAATTTTTATATCTTTATGTTTGAAGCCTGAAATGTGGCAAAATGTTTAAAGGTTTAAGGGGGCCGAATACCTTCGCAAGGCACTGTATATATAGACATAGTATAATCTCAGAAAAATGGATACCTTTCAAAAAAAATTTACTGAACTTTGGGGACATGTGTTACGTTTAGGACATGTGTTGGAGGAATAATTAACAGGACAGAGAAGACTATGTAGTGGATAATGGTTGGAGATATAACTATCATCAATATGTAATTATAGGTTTTACATTATACAAAAAATCTTATGCAATAACTCTTGGAGCTCTGTTAATATTACAGGCATGAATGAATCTTTGTTCTCACCCCCGCTCCTCGGAGCTTACGTTACTCACATTTCCCGTTCAAATCTTCCTCTAAATGGGCGTAGCCTGGAGGACTAAAGGGGGCGTGAACGAGACTGGGCCGTATACATTGCTCTGGGCGGGGGGCTGCTGACGTCAAGTCTTGCTGCCGCGCCAGTGTTGGCGCCAGATTCAAAATTCAAATGTAGTAATACAGGTCGCAAGCAGATGGCGCCTCAGACGGTTTTAGGCAGAAAGTTTAACTTTCAACTAATTTGCACCAAAGTGACAAGATTATGACCAGGATATGTAGACAACACTATTGGATACTCATTTAAATCGTTTATCAGTAAAAAAAAAGTGGATTTGAGGGTGAGTTGTCCTTTAAGTAGTGCCCCCTTCACTGGACAAACAAGCAGGAGACAAAACATGAGTGGGTGTGTGAACATTTAGCAGTAGTGGCCGTGGACATTTCGGGACTTTTTTGTGTCATTGACCAAAATATAACACATTGGTACAGTTTAGTGTGGAGTGATCCATATTCAAATAATAAATAGCCATCTAAAACTAAATACATAAGCAGTGCCAACGTTGAGGGGTAGAAAAATCTACAGCAGAGAATGCCCTTTCCCCCTGGGTTTCATGTCAAGTCTAACATTTTAAGTCTTGTAAAATGTTAGGGTTAGGGGTTTTGGTTTACATTGTTTGTGCTAATGATCTCATTAGACTTCAAATCAAGTGTTTGTTTTGAAAATTGGCCAGATAGGATTGTAGGCATCTTCCAACTGCCCGCTTTCCCATGACCACACTATGGCAACCACCGACTTGTAATTTTGTACTCAACGATGTTATAAGAATTTCTACTACAATTAATGTCTCAGCAAACCATAACCCTCAAAAATGAAACGCCTTAATCTTAAATAGTTTTAATCTGATCACATATGAGATGACCAAAAGAGCTACTGGTGGTTTACTCGTGGCATGCTCCATATAGACTTATTGCCTTGAGCTGAATTGAAAATAATCTTGGCCACTGCATCTGTGGAGATGCTAGAAGAGCCATGAGAAGTCGAATGAAGCTTATCTCAAGCGTGACAAATGATGAGAATCAGCATCGGGCCTGCAGCAAGCACAGAATCTCTCCTGCTTGGTTGAAGATGTGAAATAGTTTGAGAGCAAAACAACAGGCCTGACCTTGAGGAACCTGTCACTAGTGTCTTACGGAGCTGTGTTGTCTGAGGCTGTGGTGGGAAGCATTAGCCCAGGCTCACGTTGCACAGGCCCCCTTTGGGAGAGACACTTCTGCCACGCGCTCTTGGTAGAGGAAGGCTATGAATAGCTAAAGCTGTCCCTGCTTTTACCGGAACAGTACTTGCTCTGTAATTAGTTACCTGCATTGAATGGGTCTGTTGTTCGTCTAGATCAGAGAGCAGCGAGGAAACTGCCATATGGAAATGCGATGGCTGATTACGATGGAGCATAGTTCCGTGTTGTGGAAAAGTTACTCAAGTAGTCATCTGGACTATGTTTTGTTGAAAATGAGACATTACTACAACCATATCAGTAAGATTTAAAGCTGTCCTATATATTTTTAAATCACTGAAATAAAAAATTGGCATGGCATTTCTGCCTGCGTTGTTACCTACATCCGAGTTCAAGTTGAGAGTTATAGACTGATCAATATGCAGAGAATCCCTTTAATCACACAAGCCTGCAGTCTAGAACAAAAGTGTTTTAAATAACAGATGCTTTGGATCTAAAAGCTCCAGAGGAAAAAAAAGCTTGTTCAAATGGGTCCTAAAATACACCAGACACACACAAGACTGATTCAACAAACACTATTTTAGTCCAGAGAGCTGTGAAGAGGGTGATATGGTGTGAGGTGCCGACTATGAGCTGGTGAACGATTCAAACTCAATGTTTACATGATAACTTTGACAGCTGATCTGACCGTTTTTTCCCAACACTTTAGCTACACTTTGAGTCGCTAAAGTAAATCAAG